CCCCATCTCTAGAAACAAAACAAAAATATAGATAGATACGTTAATTTGCATCATTGTTTGGAAACTTGAAGACTTTAGGATATGCAGTGGTAAAATTCATGAAAGTGTTAGAAGACAGAAATTTTACAGAAGAAGGAATTTTTAAAGCTGAGAGGTACAGCCTGAGTTTGGCTGGGGAGCCTGGGTGGGAGGGCAGAAGAGCTCTTGCTTATGTTCCAAGTGTATGGTTTTCAGCAAGTTGGCAGAGACTGAATGCAACAGACCAGAGTCCCTGGGCCCTGGCTGACTTTTGTAGGGGGAGAAGCAGGCTTATTCCACTTACCTTTCCCCGCATTCACATAGGGTCCACAGGGTGCCCAGGTGGTGTATGGCACTGAGCTGTTGCTCCCCTCTGTGTGACACCCAGTGAACATACATTCTTTAGTGTGTGTCAGGGCTTACTAGTATTTGCCTTTTTTTCAGCTTACCATAGTTAAAGTCTAAGAGTTGTTTATTGGCGTGGCACGGTGGCTCACGCCTGTAATCCCAACACTTTGGGAGGCCGAGGCAGGCAGATCACGAGGTCAGGAGTTTGAGACCAGCTTGGCTAACATAGTGAAACCCCATCTCTACTAAAAATACAAAAAATTAGCTGGCGTGGTGGTGTGTGCCTGTAATCCCAGCTACTTGGGAGGCTGAGGCAGGAGAATCGTGTGAACCTGGGAGGCGGAGGTTGCAGTGAGCCGAGATGGCGCCATTGCACTCCAGCCTGGGCAACAGTGTGAGATTCTGTCTCAAAAAGAGTTGTTTATCAAAGGAAGTGTAAGTTCCCACTCTGATATCACAGTGATAGGACTGTATTTGGCTTAGCAGTGTAATTAAAATTCCTTAGCAACCGTATACATTTGCAGGCATTGAATTGAATTGTTATCACGGTCACCATGAGTTGGAGTTTTGCTCTTGTTGCCCAGGCTGGAGTGCAATGGCACGGTCTTGGCTCACTGCAGTCTCTGCCTCCCGGGTTCAAGTGATTTTCCTGCCTCAGCCCCCGAGTAACTGGGATTACGGGTGCCCACCACCACACCCGTCTAATGTTTTGTAGAGACAGGGTTTTGCCATGTTGGCCAAACTGGTCTCAAACTCCTGGCCTCAGGTGATCTGCCTGCCTTGGCCTCCCAAAGTGCTGAGATTATAGGCGTGAGCCACTGTGTCTGGTCACCATGAGTTTTTATGGAGCTCCTGTTGTGTCGCAAGGAATTGTGTGCAACTTAGACAGATGGGAGATAAGTAAAGAGGGTTCTTTCTAGCCTTAAGGAAATTTGAAGCAAGGAGAGGACAGACAGGAATCAGAGGTTCACGGAAGAACTGATAAAGATTTGTGTATGCCACATTTGGCTTCTGTAGGAAGAAGCCTCTGTATGTATCATTTAGTAAATAGCTAGGCGCGGTGACTCACGCCTGTAATGTCAGCACTTTGGGAGACTGAGGAGGGAGGATCGCTTGGGTCCAGGAGTTTGAGATCAGCCTGGGCAATACAAAAAATAAAAAATTTAAGTTTCTCATTTCTACCAAAAAAAAAAAAAAAAAGCCAGGCGTGGTGGTGCACACCTACAGTCCCAGTGTACCTAGAGTCCCAGCTACTTGGGCTGAGGTGGGAGGTAGAGGCTACAGTGAGTCGTGATCGCACCATTGCACTCTGAGCTGAGACCTTGTCTCAAAAATAAATAAAACATACAAACAAACAACTAACTAATTGGACGGAGAGCTCACCTGTCCTCTGCCGTAACCTATCCATGCTTCCCTGAGTCCTGTGGGCACTTTAGTGGGTGGAACAGAATCAACAGGTGCTTGGGTGAAGGGGGTTGAGGTGAGAGAAGGGCCTGGGCTGCCCGGTGACTGCATTACTGGTTCCAGTGTGGCTCAGTCACATGTGCCCTGGGAGGTGATAATTTTGAGTATTCCTTTAGGACATGAATAATACTCCTCAAAAAGGGAGGCTTCATTTCATGTCTGTTAACTGGGAATACAGCCACAACTATGTCCTCAGGGCAAGGACCAGTGGTAAAACCACCATACTTCTGGGGTGAGCACAGGGCAAATAATGTACAGACATCATTTCCTTTGACTAATCTTTGTAATCCTGGCTCCTGAAAGTAGTGAAAGTTCTTTGTCTAAGCCATGATTTTTAATTTAGGACCCAGATGGGGTAGAAGGTAAGCCTCCAAAAGGTCTGCTTACCTCAGTGTGTCAGTGTCCTGGATTCCTGGCAGGCAGCAGTCTCATTAGAAAAGCAGATTGCCTCCTGACTCACCCCCGCAGTGCAATGCCAGACAGCCCCACAGCCCTCACAGCAGCCCATATTCCTGCTGGACAGGGCAGAGCATGCACCATCCATTTTATAGCTGCAGTGGCTACAGACGCCTGGCCCAGGCCATGGAAAACCTTGAGAGGAGATAGTCTGTTACGGACAGGAGCTTTGTCCTGGAATTTCCTGGTCTTTGTCTGTCTGGGATAACTTCGTGTACCGAGATGCCTGTTTTTAGAGTCTGCTTCCTTCTAGGGGAAGAGTGCTACTGCCTATCTTCCACAGAGCGCTTTTGCTTCCTGTACCAAAGCCATCTTCTCCCTGTTGCCTGCCCATGATCACCCATGGTTCGGAGGTGGGGAGAGCACTGTGGGCAGGTGTGTGTACCTGGCTCACAGTATGCTCCTGGAAGTCACCCGTCACAAAGGAAAAGCCATAACCATTGGACATCAAAGCTGCGTCTTCCAGCCCGGCCCATTCACTCTGGTCCTAACCTTTGTCTCTCATATTGCAGCAGAAAAAGTCCTACCTGGAGCGGAGCGTTAAGGAAGCTGAGGACAACATCCGGGAGATGCTGATGGCACGAAGGGCCCAGTAGGGAGCCTCTCGGGGAAGCTCTTCCTCCTGCCCCTCCCATTCCTGGTGGGGGCAGAGGAGTCTCTGCAGGGAAACTTCAGCTTCTCTTCTGCCCCGATGGACACTTTATCTGGATGACCTAGCAACGTCACATTTTCTGCATCACCCTGAGCCCCATTTGCTTCCAGGCCCTGGAGTTTTTACCCTGGCTTTGCCTGCCACCTCTGCCCAGGACACTCTTCCCTCTCGGGGTGTGTGATGAACTCCCAGGAGAGGGAAGATGGGAGCCAGGGCAAGATAGGAAGCTCTGCCTGGGCTTTCCACTAGGCATGCCAGCCAGACCAATAAAAAGCGTCCGTCCCACTCTGCTAAGCCTGCTTTTCTTCAGCAGAGGGATGGAACAGAGGGTGAGAGAGGCAGTGGCCATCTCCACCTTAGCTCCTGCTCCCTCTGTGTCGGAGCCCTTCCTTTCTTGGGGGATGGGCTCTTGCCCTCTTCTCTTTTCCCTTCCTGTACCTTTGACTAACCCCTCAGCTTCCGGGCCTGCATGTAGTAGACAGAAGAGGAAGAAAGAACAGACGTTCACAGCTGAATCTCAGTGAACAGAATAGCAGTCCCTGGATGGCAGTCTGCCTAAAGATTCCTTTCCCTGCCTTCTCCCATACATTCCAAAAGGAAGTTCAACAGTCAGCAGCACCTCCAAGACTGTCTCCTTTTGGCCAATATCATAAGATGGACGCCGTAATCCTGAGGCCTCCTAGAGGCTGAGGGGCAATGGTGTGCTCTAGCTGGCTCATCCCAGCCCAGGTGGGCCAGTTATTCAATTTTGAAGAATTTTGTTGCAAGCCAGTTGTTAAACACAGCCATTATAATTATGTAAATTGCAAATTATGTTAAAAACAAGGATAATAAATATTCAAAATGCATCCCTAATTATATTACTACATTTGACCACGACCTGTGCTCTATCTGTGCACTGGCTGTGATCTGTGAGGTTGGCTCTGTTGGCCCAGCTCCAATGAGTGTGATCTGTGAGGTTGGCCCAGCTCCAGTCAGTGACATCACATTGGTAACTTGAAATCAGCCATGGCATGGTGGGAACACGTACACCACAGAAATAAGACATAGGACATGCTACAAAACATGGCTGGGTTTTTTTTCTTTTTTCTTAAAGAGAGCACTGGTAAACATCAGCACATCCACTGCTTCGGAGGGAAGGCAGAGTCAACCAGGGAGCTGTCAGCTGCAGCTGGCTGGGCCAGGGCGGGCCAGCTGATGGAGGAAAATCGGACTTGCTGCTGTGGCAGCCGGGCGCCACCCTGTGGCCAAAGATGAGATGAGTGGCACGGCTGACTAATTGGGGAGGGGGTGGGAGAGGACAGCCAGAAGGGAAAAACCTTGGCCGGCTGGGTGCGGTGGCTCACGCCTGTAATCCCAGCACTTTGGTAGGCCGAGGCGGGCAGATCAACTGAGGTTGGGAGTTCCCAACCAGTTTGACCAACATGGAGAAACCCTGTCTCTACTAAAAATACAAAATTAGCTGGGCCTGGTGGTGCATGTCTGTAATCCTAGCTACTCAGGAGACTGAGGCAGGAGAATCGCTTGAACCCAGGAGGGGAGGTTGTGGGGAGCCGAGATCACGCCATTGCACACCAGCCTGGGCAACAAGAGCAAAACTCCACCTCAAAAAAAATAGGAAAACCTCAAACCTCTTGTCTGGCCCCATGTAACTGTAGGTTCCTGGGTTTCCAGAGAGCAGGCCTGGAAGCTACTCCAGGGGCAGCCCCTGGTTACCAAAAGGCCCTTTCCTAGGGTCTGGGTAAAGGTAGGTGCAAGTTGTGGTTGCAAACATTCCTCTCTCAGCCTATCTCTGAGTGGGACTAGGGGGAGAGTAGCTTGGCTAAGAGCCTATGACCCGGCTGGAGGACACCTGGCCTCAGAACTGGCCTTCCTTGTAGCACCCACACTGTTTGCATCACCACCAGAATAAAAAGGTAGATTGGCTGCTGGTCATATATTGGATGGTGGCCACCAGCTGAGATAACCACATTTTATAAGCCTTAGCGAGCAGATGAGTAGTTAGATATGGTAACAGAGTCCAGGTAGCTTAGCTTAGACCTGGAATCATTTAGAAAGACAGTTGAGCTTTGGACAAATTTATTGAAACATACAGGCTGTTAGCAGAGAAATCATTCCATGGTGTGTTACATTTGGCCACTACCTTGAATGTATAATTTAAAAATTATAAATATTTTTCACAACTAAGCCTTTGGCCAAAAAAATCATTTAGCACATCTTTAAAGATCAATAAGAAATGGATTTTGGACATTAAAAAGATCAAGTCACTGAATTAAACAGTAGCAACCCCCACTAATCTAGAATCCCATAGTGCTGAAGGTAGAGGTGTCTGTGCAAAGCTAGTCACTTGTTACGGCAATCAGAAGAGACGGGGGCAGGCACACCTATCAGAGGTGGCGGCAGAGCTGGCATGACAGGACGGCTGGGCTGGTCAGGTGAGCATGTCCCAGAGACAGCAGCAACACAGAGCAGTCCAGCAGGCTGTGAGGCAGGTGGATGGTCCCAGCTCATCTCTTCTTTGGTCTTCTACCACATACACTGGAGGGAGACGGGGGAAGGGGGTGAGAATGGACCGGTGCAAACCCCAGGCCCTGCAAAGTTAGCCTCCCAGGACCACAGGAAGGCTACAGCAGGGGGAAGCTATTGAGCAGACTGGCGAAACCGTGCTCCTGCCATTGCTGCTGATGAATGGAAGGAGGGTGGCTCAGCTCAGCTGCTTTCTCCCTCCTGCCACTCCAGACCCAGGACGCCCTCACCCTCACAGGGACAAGTACTAGAGAACTTGCAGAATGGCCGCATGCCAAGGCAACCAGAGTTGGCCAACCCTACTTTGTAAACCAGGTAGCATGTCGTCCCCCCGCAGGGGAACTGGGGGTCATTTCTTGAGATACAGCTGACCCATCACCCAAGAGTAACAGAGGAAAGGGAATTAAAATCTTTTAAAAGGGGGTTTTAAACACTCGAAGAATTATAAAGGGAATTAAAATCTCCTTTTAAAAGGGCTTTAAACACTCAAAGAATTACCAAGAGCCCTGGTTTTTCATTCCTGGGCAATATACAATTTCAGAATGTGCCCCCAACCTCTATACCTTGACATAAACGATGAAAGAAGGCGGGGATGAAAACCTGGCTGAGTGGGTGGGTGGCTGGAGCCTGTGTGGTGTTCCTGAGCCTAACATGCTCACTTTTCCTCCAAATGAAGTTGGAAACTTGAGCCGTGTCATGGCTAAGTGGTCTATCAAGAGATCTGAGTGCTAAACAAATCCATAGGTCAAGAAGGACCCCAACTACCCACTACTTGTCAGCTGATTTGCGGCATTAGCTTCTCTTCCCGTAAGAACATATTTTAAATGGCTGCTAGTCAATCTCTGGCCACTTAAAATCTCAAAACAACCACTGTCATCAAATTCATAAGCAGTAAGCATTTCACTTTTCCAAAGTTCAGGAATGCATGAATCTTATCAATTAAACCAGTTCTTTGGGGGTCTTCTTTCAGTTTTCTTGTTTTGTATCTGTTTTCAGACCCCTCTCTTGGCAGCACCTCTCCCTGGAGCCTGGTGTCATCGCTGTTACAGAGCACGCTGAGTGGGTTGGTAGGGAGGTTTTCCAGGTCCTCCCATTGTATCAGCTGCCCTCTGCACGGACATGTTCCTTTTCCTTCTTCTGTGGCACAGGTTTAATCCCAGTCTACTTTCATTTGGCCCCACTCAGAAGCACAGGTCTGGGTCTAGCTGCTCTTCACCAGGAAAGCTGCTCAGAGGGAGAGGATGAATGGCTCATTTATTCCGAGTCCTCCTAAGGTCAAGTACCTGATTTCGTCTTCACAGCAACTTTGAGGTAGATACTACCATCACTCCCACTTCACAGGCAAGGAATTCGAGGCTTAGAGAGGTTAGGTCTCTCGTTCAAGCACACGCGCTGAGGCAGAGGCAAGGGCAGGATCTGAACCCAGGCTTTTATGGCTCTAAAGCCTCGGGCAAGCCAGGCTTGCTCAGGCCCAACTGGGATAGAAAAGGGATCAGAAAGAGAACAGAGGTGACTGGGCTACAACAAAGTCCTCTCTCACATCCAGTCAGAGCCTACCCCACCCACTAAAGCCTGGTCACCCCAGGCCCTGGGGTCACTGCAGCAGGAAAGCCCCAGGTAGAGTGCCGCTTCCATCTGCCTGGATGGCCTGCCCACCCCAGGATCCTGCATGGGCAGCTCTGGACAGGGAAACTGGAATACAATGGTGCAAATCCACTTGAATAACCCCTTCCCTGTGCTCTCCCTGTCACAGGATTGGCTCGCCTGCCCCTGGGACAGAAAGCCCCCTGCCAGCTCTAGAAATAGCCTGCTTGATTCATGTGCAGGCCGTCCCTGGGCTTCAGGCCAGAAACTCAGCTGGAGGCTGGCTGCAGTGGGAGGGGCCCCACAGGCTCTCTTAAGTTACCATTTATTGAGGTATTCACAAGTGCCAGGCCCTGTGCTGGGGGCCCTGTGCTTAGGGCTTTCTGGACATGGGGCCATTCAGTCTTCATGACCGCCGTATGGGGCGTGGGCATCAGGACATCAGTCAGTCTCCTCACTGCTTCCCCTTCTCCCCAGCCTCCAGGGACAGGGCTGAGGTGGTGGTCACGCCTTTCTCACCTGTCCGAGTCCCTGAACCTCAGGCAGCTTAGCTGGGGAAACAAAAATGTCCTAGTCTTGCTTGCTCCACCTTTTTCCTCCAGTTTAATCAGGTTCGTCCTTGCCAGGGCTTTCACATAACATACTTGGAAACATGGGGAACTAGGGACTTTGAACTCGTTACTCCCAGGCAGTGCTGACAGAGGTTAGAAACAGCAGCAACAAAACGGAGGACTTCAAACCAGAGGGCTGTGACAGCCACAACAGGGGCGTTGAGTGCCCACACATACCTTAGAAACCCGAGTCACTTATTTCCTGGAGCACCAAGTTTCCCAAAAGCCTTAGGACCTTTTCACCTTTAGCTGAGGACAGAATCTCTGCTCCTGGGCTGTTGGGAGGATGGGCAATGGGAAGTAGTGCGGGTCTGGAGGTGGGAGTGACCTGCGTTTTCCTTGCTTCAGTCGCCCAAAGCAGGGATGACTAGCGCAGGAGAAACCCCTAAGGTAGGCCTCACAGTTCTTCAGAGCACCTGCGGTGGGGCCCAGAAATTTTACAACTGCATCTTCTAGATGCAGGGTCCAGGGTACTCCATCTCCAGAGGGTGCACTGAGCTGCACAGCCTAGTCTCTGCCCCAGGATCCCCACCCACCCGACAGCCTCACTGTTCCTGGCCTTCTGCTCTGCTACCACCCCTGTCACTCCCCACTTCCCAGTGGGGGACTCTGCCTGAGAACTCGTGCACTATCCTGGCTGGCACCCCATGCTGCCTGGGTCCTGGGCCACTCAGTACTTGAAGCTCAGGGCCCCCTGTGCACTAAGGCTTAGCTGGCAGTGCAAGTCACCCAGCAGGAGCTGTGGCAGAGGTGGCCCCAACCCAGGTGTTCCACACCCAGAGATGGGCCATCCTGGCAACTGCCTCCTCTACAGCCAAGCAGAAGACAAAAAGCGGGCAGAACTATGGTTATATAAGATGTTAAACCGTTTACAGAAACTATCATCTTGGCAACTCTTCTCTCAACTTCTGTAAATGGAATGCTATTTAAAAACATAAACCTTTTTAAAAAGAAGGATAAAAGAGAGAGGGGTCAAAAGAGCAATGTCGGGGCTGGGATGGTAACAGGCACCACATTTCCAGGCGCATTGGTAGCAGTCAGTGCTCAACCTGGGAAGAGGTTCTGGTGCCTGCTGTGGCTGCTCAGATTGAGCTGCTTCTTGGAGATCGAGTGCCCCCCTGTGGCCAGTCTAGGGACCGGGGCTGGGTTCCAGCTCCTGACAGGGGCAGGGTCTTAAGGATTGTTTTCCTTCCATCAGCATCAGCGCCAAAAGGCTCATTCCCCATTCGCTATCTAGTGTCTCAGACCACCCTATTCAACGGGCCCCAGGGAAGAAGGGACTATTCCCAGGGGACTACAGGTGGCGTGGGGGTCAGATCCAGGGGACCCTACACTGGCTTGCCTCTCTTGCCTGCAGTCAGCCCTTTGAACCAACCCTCAGTATTCTCAGCCCCAGTCTGATGTGGGGCCTGCAGAGGGGCAGGCACCCAAAGCTTTGCCACATGGATGCAAACACAGTGTGGGGTGGGGAACGTGCAGGGAGAGGTGCGTGAGCACACAGATGTGGCCTAGGAGCCCAGGCTAGGTCAGAAAGGCCCAGGAAGCCCTGGGTCTCAGGTGCACAGCAGCTTTGGGAAGAGTTGAGCAGCTTCTGGCAGGGGCACCTCCCACCTTCTTGCCTTCAAGCTGGAAGCAGAAAAGATAGATGACCGATGCCAGGCCTGTCCACCAAGCTCTGGGGTCTTCTCCAGGGCCACCACTGCCCACTGCAACCTTGGCCACCAGACACACCAACCAGTAGTTCCCTTGGTCCCAGGATCTAGGACTACTGTATTGTACAGCCCCAGAGGTGACATTCACATGGGCTACTCAGAAACCTGGTCCTGGATAGGCAATGGGCAAGTGGGGCTTCAGTTCCCACAGAGATCAGGGCAGGGATGACCTGCAGGAAATGTGAGTACAGGCCTTCTCAGGTGAAGGCTCCAATTCTCGGTCAGCCCCATTCTGGCACCTGAAACCTTCACCTGCACGGCTCGGACTTTGTAAATGATTAATCGAGTGCCTTAACATGGTAATTGAGCCTTATTAGGTCCTTCTTGTTTTTGCAAGTGTCTGTACCAGTCCCAAGCAAAGAGAGCTAGGCAGGAAAGGCAAACAGAAAGACCGGAGCCTCCCAGAGGGTTCTGATGCCCGCAGCCTTCTTGCTCCAGGAGTGAGGAAGCAGCACCATGGCCCCTTACGGTCCAGACCAGTGATGGGCACACAGGGCTGGCCCTCAACTGCTAAGACAACTACAGACACCGCACCTTCCAAGAAGTGCCACCAGGGGATATGATGGCTTTGCCAGTGGCAGGAGGACCTGTAGTCTGCTCAACTGCCCTTGCCCCACATTGGGCATCTAGACCGACAGAAGGAGGCCAACCAGCCTTCCGGGAGGTTCCAGAGGATCCACAATAGCCCTTTTACTACTCAGATGCAGAGGTAGGAAGGGAGGGGGAAATCTTTAAGCATTTTCCAAATAAGTAAAAACCTCAAGACAGCCATGAGATGGCTCCTGCAGGGGGGAGAAGAGAGAGAGAGAGAGAGAGAGAGAGGATTCAACTTGCTATGGCTTCAGTTCAGCTTTCCTTGGATGTGCAAGTGCAGTGAAATCGTTTACTACCCAGCACAAAGAGGCTACACTGATAAGAACAAAATGTCCTAAAGGCAATGCCACTGTGCCTCTGTTCAAGGCCAGTGAGCACCAGGTCCATGTGCTGAGTGGGAGAGTGATAGGGTGAAGGATGAGCAGGAACAGCAGAGGGACCAGCCCAGCTTCTGTCCTTCCAGGGAATATCTGGGTAGAGGCAATCAAGGGTCTGTAGTTTTCATCGGATT